GAGTGAACAGGCATCTATTATCATTCATCAGGTCAACGCATTCAGCCGAATGGTAACTAAACTCTCTCAAATCATTGGACAGATAAAAGATCAGAAGCTGAAATGTTCTAATTATTGATACACGAAATAAACTCGACATACAACTTTGAATCAAAATTATTATTTTTCCTGTACATTTGTTTTTAACTTTCAATTGACATGCAATCAGTAGTTGCACAAAACAAAATAATTTTATATGCAGCCAGATCACAAATGAAACAGAAGTTGTATGATTCAATGTTTATTGGAAAGATACTTGTTACAAAAAAAATATAGTCTTTGAAATTAAGATGAAAAATGTTCCACAGAAGAATAGATCGTCTTACCTTATTTAAGGTATTTTTGTAGCCTCATACCGCTTTACCTTTTCTTGTGTTTCGTTCGCCAATATTTCATAACACTTGGCTGATTTAGCAAACAATTGTTTAGAGGTAATACGATCATCTTGTTCATTCAACGCACGTTCGGCTTCTTGTCGATAGAGTTTGGCAAGATCATGACCAAGTTTACCTGTCAATTTTTCGATTGTTTTTTCCATAGAACCCATTGTATCTTGGGCTTTTGGTAATAAATTTGCAGGATAAAAACGTATTCGTGGATTATTGTGCATATTTGAAGGTAATGTTGGAGAAATATAAAAAATTGAGTGAAATTCATTGAGAACAGCATTGATCTCAGCTGCTGTGAGATCAACAGTAATAAAACGACGGTGATGCAGAGAAAACTTTGTTGAGAGAGTATCTCGTTCAGTTTTCATCAAATCTACCTCAATACGAAAGAATAGTATCGGTTCCAGAGAGTGACATATCTCGTCAACGTCTGCAGGAAAATTATATGGATTCGACGAATTCGTATTGATTGGCTTCTGGTAATGGCCTGATACAAAAAGAAAAATAATTAACATTCTTCCATCTTTACAACGTCCTATGTAGGAAAAACATTGAACAATGTCATACAGTGAACAATTTATGTTAGTCATATCACTTCAAAATAAAACTTTGGCTCAATAGCACTGAGACATCTCCGAATACTCGAGATTTATGATCTGAAACAAGCACGATTTATCCATATGTCGGCGAATATAATTTCCAACCTTCTCCCTTTCTCCGAAAATTTTACCATAAAAATTAAGATATTCAAGTAATATGAGAAGGCATAAGTATTCGACAAGATTCTATAGTCGCTTTCGACGTTGGAAACATCCTTATTGAAGCTTTTCTGTTCACATAAAAACTTGGTCTAATTATTTTTGCGATTATTACTAATATCATCTTAATCAGTTGAAATTAGCACAAAATTAGACTTTCTATCTTACCAACCAATGTAAATTATGCACCCGTTTCGCAACAGATTGGCATATCATTTAAATCAAAATGAGATTAATACCGCTACTGAATGTTATAAATCCTTCATAAAGTCAAAAAAACATGATTTTTCATTATTCGTAAGTTCAGTCACTAATGAAGTCTCATATGAGACCACAAAAAGGGTGACATTGATCAACTTTTGATTTACATTCCTCTAGGTTTTGACCGTTATCTCTTCTGTATGAAATCTTTGTATACAAGCTAGTCTGTTCTAGTTTCAGATCTTAGGACTATTCTTTGAGGATCCGTCTGGTACTTAGGAAAGAGAAACTTATTTTATCCAATCTCACTCGTGGAGTACAAATAATTACCATGGAAGAACAAACACATTTGTCGGTAGCTTTCATTCGGGGAAATTGAACTTACCTATATCAACGTGAATACGGCTAACAACGCGCTTGACTATCGATGTTACATATTCTGTGAAAAAACTTCTGCTTCTATCGTCTTGCCGTAACAATACATGATTGATCTTTGATCGAAACGGTGAGACCACAGGCCCATGCACGTCTTGTTTGTTCAATAATTCTTCCGTTTGATCATAATTAATTAGACTTCTAATTAGTTCTATGAAGTTCTCATTATTGTTCTGTTTCTGAAGTCCTTGTCGAGTCGATGCCAATAATGTTTCAACTGAATCATGTGCTTGTCGAGTAGATGTTGTTAATCGGATAATCCATAAATGCAATGCATCATCATAGTGAACACTTTTTGTTTGAAATATAGTACCTATATCGAAAAGAATTTCCTTCTCATCGGGAAACTTGCTCACATGCGACACATCTGCAAAGATAACGGGTGAATTAACGATGTCAATATTAATTTCGAAAAGTACACGACAAAATGTGACCTTCATTGTATCATATTTTTTGTTGGCATAAGCTAGAGCAATATCACGCATTAGACTGGTTGAAAAAAACCCGTTTGTTGAAAGTAATGAATTGCCCGATATGTCACGAATTCGTTGTAAATCTTTTATTGAGATGCACATGCCACGGTAAACCGTTATATTATTCCTCCATTGCAAACTTTGATAGTAATTTTTTAGTTGTTGCCGTAAATCTCGAATAAAGAAGGCCATAGTACGCAATTTAATTTCGTCAAATGTTCGTAAAGCTCGATTGATCATTTTGTAAACGAATGAAGCACGTGTATACCACATAATTGCATCTGATGCTGTATAGGTTAACTCAAATTCTTTAATATTATTTAATTCTAATTGATTTCGACTGTAGTGTTCACGACACAATTGTAACATGTCCTGCTTGCTTTCATCATATATTTCAAATTCTACATACTTTGCTAAAACATAATTAGCAAGAAAAAGAGCTGTGGAACGGGATAATTGTTTGGAAAGATCACCATTGTTACACGTATAAAAATAGGTTTGATATTTAAGATCGATCCATGAACGAACACGTCGAACAAGTTCTTGTTCAGTGTCAATACAAGCCAATACCTTAGGATATGCATTGCCCATGAGATTTCGGTACTTTTCAGGTGAAGCACAAAAAATAAAAATAGAATCTATAACTGGAAATGAATGAATGAATTGAAGACATTGTGTAGCACATGCACCCGATATAATGAAGAGGACCATTGCTTGACAAGTGGAGAGTCTGTTAAGACATTTATAAATGTCATTGAAAAATTCAACATGATCATTAAGTTGAAGCAATAATAATATTGTGTGCTCATCATTTGGATCCAATTTAGTATCAAGCCAAATCACGTCTGCGTCGCAATGATGTAATACTTCCTTGGTTAAGTGAGCAAAGCGTTGGAGAGGCGTAGCTAGTAAACACGATAAGTTTTTACAAAATAATGCCTGTACTTGGATCGAGATATACAAGTGTCAAATTTAATTAGTGAAGTACTTCAGTCTCTATCTCCAAGGATTTGGATTGGTGCCTTGTCTTTATCGTTCACAGCTATACATCTATATCCGAATGGAGAACGATTTTAGCTTGATATTTTGGAATTTTACTCTATTAGATGAGTTGAGAAAAAGGGTCGCATTTTTGTTGTAAATGGTTTATTTCTCATTGAGTTATAGGAGGAACAAAATTCAAAAATTTGCTCTACATCCAGCCTGATTTTTTTTTGTCGTGTATAACTTTTGTATGGGATGAATTTTATGAAACAGATGTTTTTTACTTCTCTTTTATCTTCAATTAGAATGCTATTGATTTTCATGTTGCTCTAAATAAAAATAACAAGTATCTTAACGTACATAATTCATAATACTTTATTAATAAAACTTTGTTTAAACCTAAAACCATAGACGCATTCTGAAAGTCTTTGTAAAGATCTACAACTTCAGCAGAAAAAATAATTTAAAAAAAATCACAATAGAATAAAATTTCTCGAAAGCTAAATCAAATGGAAATTTAATTTTTTCAAAAGTGAATGACCGTCTTCAGATCAATACAACAAAAAAATGTTTATCAAAAATCGGCTGAGTAGAACTCGACTTGTAGACATTTTTCTCTTCAGAATATAACAATACAATGACCATCGCGTTCTTCACTCACACAATAGAATGTCACTTGAATCTCTATAAAGACTACTAATTCCATTTTCCTATGGAAAGATGTCATAATACTCATAAGATGAATTACGACAAGTTTCAAGTCACAATATCTAGTAAAGGGGTGTGGAGTATGGGTGTAAGGATAGGTGTGCATATTCACTTCAACGATGCCGAAACCCACACTCACATATCTACACCAACATCCACATCCACACCCCAATATGGACTACTGTCATTGTTGCATATTATAGCTAAACAAGTCTAATGGAAATTTTATTATTATGATATTAGATGAACATTGATCAAATGGTGTAAAAATATAGAGCTTTGCTTTTACTATCAATCTAAATATAAAGAAGATTTTTTCCAGCATTCTACAAGAAATTGATATACCTCCATAACTGATTTTGGTATGACATAAGTAAGTCAACTCCACGAGGATTCCAAATGAAGTTTCAAATAACGAATCATAGAAAGACATGTTGACTCCGTATGTTCTATATGCTAAGGAATTATTTTCGTGTAAACTTACAGTATGGAAGCTGTGGTTTTTCAGGATTTGCTGGACCAAGATAGGATGTATCCGACGGCATTTCCAAGAGTTCCCAGTGACAATACTCCATTATGTTCACATTACGAGAGATTCCCGTAGACACAATGGCAGTCTTCTGTGTGTTGACATCATCTATCATGCTGATCACATCCGTTCGTTGAGAGAATTGTGTTTCAATAAAGTTATTATTGTTGCTTGTCGACATTGTAGTGTTTAGTTGGAAAAAAAAACAAGATAAATGGAAAAAACCAAATTGGTAGCAATAATTTATTTTACCGTAGATACAGAAAGGAAGTAAAAAAAAAACATTTTATTTGTCGACGAATGCATATTACTCATTCTCGAAATTGGAAAGAACCATCAAATAAAACGCCATCTATTTAAAGTCTCTGACAAGAATTATATTAGATTTAGTGAAATGATAAAAAGTAATAGAACACTAAAACACTGAAATTTTCTATCTATATATGAAAAAATTTATTGCAAAGTTAATTCTATCTACACTTTTAACGATAAATGGATGTCTTACTTCATTAAATCATTATCTAAAACTGCCAAAAACTGATGTAATCGGTCATGATATTACTTAATTCGAATGTAATGGAGATCTAAAGAGACATAGATAACGTATATTGAATTCGAAATTATTTACATCTTTAAGATTGTAAAACGTATGTTATGTTGAATTCTTCACTGCTCATTATAATAGAAACTTCAACGATCATGGATTTAATATCGATGTTTTATTAAAACCTTGTGCCATATACGATGTTAATTTATATATATTTAAGTAAAATAAAATCCAAGTTTTTAGAACATTTGAAAATAAGAAGAATCAGAAAATACGATAACAAAGGCCTAATGTGAAATATGTATATTAAGTTATATTCAATTTTAATTAAGTTCTAGTTAAACCAAGGATGTTGTAGAATTCATCAGTGTCTCCATTCAAATTTAACTAATTCTAGGAAGTGATAGAGTTCGTTAGTGTTCTCAATTGAAAAATAAATAAATTTAGGAAGTGATAGAGTTCACTAGTGTATTTGAATAAAACAAAAAAAAGGAAGTTTAAGCTTATACTTTTTTGCACAAGATATTTTATCGATGTTTATTTGTGTATTTTCCGATGTAGATACATAAGAAGCCATTTGTACATACATTACAATACGCATAAGGGGAAATGAATAATTTATTGAGTGAAAAAAAAAGAACAGATATATGATATTTCTTATTGCAAAGAAAAATTAGAATTTATGTATTGATAAAAGGAAATTATTCCATAGTTCTGCACATAATTAAAAAAAAACGAATTTTTAACCTTAACTTAATTTTGTCTAAACTTTAATTGCATCTATGACAAGTACATATTTGAAATCTAGATTTTTTTCTAAAAACTCAATAACTTTAGATATGTCATTAGTTTTGGTGGATTAGTAAATAATTACTGATAGTTTCTTTAAAAATATTTTTTTAATTTTATTGAAGTATTGCATGCTTGCTTCTCTACCATTTTATCCATCATATGCAGCTAATATTCTTTGTTATCAATATAATAGTTTAGCTAAATCAAATGAAATAGCTCAAATCTTTGGTGATAATCGATTCATGTTTGCTTGAACTGTGTACGAATTCATTATGACAAAGTGATACTTGAATAATAATCTATCGTATGCTTCTAGATCATAGCTTAGTCGACCATATGTAAGAAAAGAAAAAGAAATTTCAATGATATTTTATCTTATCTTACTACACAAGTTGAGAATATATTTGAGATTTGATGTTGATCTAGAATAGAAAATTATTGCTTAAAAAAATCAAAATTAATTTTAATTATACAACAAAAGTACACATTCAATTCCATGATAGTAAATCAGTTATTATAAAAAAACAAATTTCATATGTTTGGTTTTGTTTTTTTTCTTTATCATTTTAAGTTGTCTAGATGTTTTATATTTAACTGTTCGAATGAAGGTTAATTTTACTCAAGAAAATGCAAGTATGATTGATCTTAGTCATCTTATTGTAGAACATATGTTAAATGAATGATTTAAAGCTGTCGATGGATATAATTGATCTGTACAAACATTTGCATAAGGGAAATTTCATATTCAAAATGCTGTTTGTTATTTTCTTTATTAATTGATTATTTAATTGATTGGTTTCAAATGTCAGAACTTCTCGTTGAATTTTTTTTTATCAAGAGGTTTTTTTTAGTATAGGATCACAGTTTCAACTAACATAGAAACTTTTTTTCTTCAAATATTGAATTTTGTTGAATAGTGAGTGACCTTGTTAAAATGACTTTCAGTACTCATTTTCTTACTGATAAAAGTGAATTTATTCAATGAATTATGCTATGATGATAAAAATCTTCGTTTTTAGACTCTTATCAGATGTTTTAATACTATCAACAAAATTTATTCGATATACATGTCTATTTGATTATACTATTGATCAATGTGTTTTATTACTTCTGTTATTTATAAGACGATATTCAACTTCCAATTACAAGTCATTTTGTGTAAATAGATTTAAAATAAGTTTATTTCAAAGAGTCAATAAATACTGTGTATTGTTTTTCTTAGTTTTTTTTTTATCACAATAAGTAGTCATAATCCCAAAAAAAAAATGAAATGAAGGAAAGACATATAGATATATACATATTATGAAACTGTTATGCTTATATTATATATAAAATAAAATAGACGATAGAAAAAGCTTGGTTAATATTCTTCTTGTAGACTGAAGACGTTATCTGAATCATTTGGAAGAAAAATAGTTTTTATTCATTTTAATCATTTTTGGGTTGTTTACCCATACATCGAGCAATACTTGGTAACACTTCACCTTGAATAGGACCTTAAAACAAAAAGATTTTTTATTTTTTATTTTTTTGAAATTTAAATTTCATTTTACCATAAGGAACTTTTTCACCATCAATCATCATGTTTCCATTTGTTTCTGATGGTACAATTCGAAATGCACGTATAGGCATGCATTCAACAAAATCATAGTTTAAATGTTTACCATCAGATAATTTTGTAAATGCTTTAGCTAAATGTAAACGTATTGGACCATCAATACGCATAAATTGTAATGTTAAATAACCATCAGCTAATGTTGATTGTGGAGTTGATATCGAATCTTTTGATATAGCAGCTTTTGAAGTAATAAGTACATGAGCAAATGGACCATCAATACGGCGCCATTTACTGGTCGCTGAATCAATTGGTATAGGTTCATTGAGCGGTAAAAGATGTTGATGAAGTCTAGCCGTTGTTGTATCTGATGTAATCTGATTCGTTTGAACGGTATCATCATTTACATCATAAGGAAGATAATCGATATAACCATTATAAATACGAGGTCCTAATATAAATATAATATAAAAATGATATTTCTATTTTATTTTATATACATTAAATTAAAAGAGAAGAATAATCGTTAATTAGAAATAACGAAATAAGGATTCGATCCATTTACAAGCACAGAAATGCACAAAATAATGAGTATCGCACTGACACTTGTTTTTGAATTCAATAAACTTTCGCGTAATATTATTCAACAATTGTTCATATTTTTAGGATGTTTCATTTTTCTGTACATAATCTGATAATTGAAAGAAGTCCAAATAGCATGATATTAAAGTATTTCTATTTAAGATTTATCAGTTCTTGAACAGCTATCTCTCATTTATGCTCATGCATACAATGTTTTTTTTTGTCTCTTGAAAGAAACTCGTTTATTTATTAATAGAAAATATCTTTAATAAACGAAATTAGATATACGAAGCAAGGTAAAGCAAGAAAGCAATAACCTAGTCTATTCGATTATTTACATTGTCATTTTGCATTCGTTCAAATAGAATAGACTTCTATTATATTTGGAAGAGTATAACCTTGAAACTTGACTTCTATTATGTAAGGAAGGTTTTGATGACAAAGAAAAACAAGGTCAACTCTAAAGTATAATATTACATATTCGTTGATATTTACAACTTTTTTTTTTTAAAAGAAAAAAAAAATCTATATTGCATTGTATAGAAATAAATATATTTTTCTTTTCTTAAATAACAAACAATAATACTTACGAAGAATTCGTTTTACGGCTTCGACTGTAAATCGAGTTTCACCTAAAAGAATAATAAAAACTATTAAAAAAAAAAAAAAACATAATTTTTACTATTTTCTGTTTACCTAGAAAACGATATTTTTCACTTTCATAATCAACATCAGCAATAATACCCCATGCAACACTTAGAAATGAAAAAATTCGTTCACCATCACATGTATCAATAACAGCCATATCAAAAGGAATCACTTGATATGTAGCAATAAGTATAGCAGATTGAACAACAAATTTTTCCATTGATATCTCAATTGGTTGTCTATGCATATGAATTTCAAAATTAATTACATATTAAATAAATAATTCAAATGATTTACTTGCTATGACGAATAATATTTGCAATAAATGCATTTCCAGAACCACAAGGTAAATGTCCAATAGGCAATTTTAAAGCTTCTTGCCAATCTTTTCTACTAAAAAGACCATTCATTACCTTCAATAGAAATATTGAAAGAGAAAAAAAACGATAATTGCATTGATATATTTAGAAAAAATAAAAAACAAAATATATTTACTTCATAAATAAGTCCATCACCTGAAGCAAGAATAATTCCACTCCATTCACTCAATTCTAATGTCTGTACATAATCTCGAGCATGACCAGCATATTCTATAATATATAAAAATAAAATATAATTTTTTTTATTTAACAACAGATGTTTTTTTTTTTTGTTTGTTTCATAATATTACCTGTTATAATTATACGATAATTAAATTCAGCTTCATTCCATATACCAATAGCATGTTCCATAACAAGACGATAAGCTTTACCTGCACCACCAGCTGGATTCACAAAAACAAGTGCAGGTTTATCACGTTTTGTTGTTATAATATCAACTAAACTTATTTAAATAAACTTTTATGTAATAAAAAAAAATTTTTTCTTGAATTTACAAGGAAGATTTCGTCGTAAATAAATAGCAGATGCTACATGATGATGCCATCGCATTATTTCAGTATAATTTGTTTCATAATCATTATATTTTTCATAGATAAATGTATATTGTTGTCGATGATAATCACGTTTTTTTGATACAATTCCACTTATTGTATTTGATCGTTTTAATATATACAAATAAAATGTTAAATAACATTGATTTGAAGTTTTTTTTGATTTCATACATAAACATCCATATATATCATCAATTGGTATGATACGTATATTATTTACAGATGATGATGATGATAATGATCGATTTTTATTTTCATCTTGTTTTAGAATAATTGAAAGATTTATTGATGAAAGTTTGAGTATATATTGTTTAGATATATGACGATAATGACAAAATATATCTTCAAGATCAATTGATTTTAATTCTTCTTGTGCCATTAAATGACAATAAGATTCTAAAAATTAAAAATTATCGTTTTTTTTTTCTTGTTTAAATAAATTTATTTCGGATTATAATATATTATTTTAATTAAATAAGAAAATCACAGCATTTACACAACAAATACATAAAAAGCACAATGATATATATGCGGACGGTTAAGAGGAGAAAAAAAAAAAAAACAATGTTTATGTTAAATCAAAAATTAAATTTATTGAATAGTATATTATTCTACCATACGTTGAAGTTCAGTTGTATAAACATTAACACTTTCAACATCATATAAAACAAAAAAAACTTGTTGAAGTTTTGTTGTTGTTGTTTGTCGAAAATATTTTGATAATGCTGCTAATATTGTTTGAGCAGCTGTTTGTTTAGGAAATCCAGCACTAAATAATAAAATACAAAAATTTCATCATTTTATAAATAATATTTTACATACTTTCCACTACTAACACTTGGTAATGCAACAGATGTAAGACCTTGTTCATCAGCTAGTGTAAGAATATTTAAAGTAGCCTTATCAAGTTCACTAATACATTGTTCTTGTGCACCAGCATTCCATGTTGGTGAATTAACATGAATTAAATATGTAGCCGACAGATTAGGTGCATCAGTAATAACCACTAAACAATTGAATATAAGTATATACAAAAAACTAAATTAACAATCAACTATTACCATCTCCAACATTAGTTAATGATTTAGTCTTTGCTGCTTGAGATAAAGCATCTCGTAATTCTTGTCCTCCAGCTTTAGATAAAGCATGACCTAATTTTATTTAAAAGAAAAAGGATTTCTATTGCATATGAAAAAAAAAACAACAACAACAAAAAAAAATACAAACCAACTTCACCACTCATACTGAGTGAAGTACTTGTTGGATGAACAATTGCATCAGCCTTGATATTAATAATATTTCCTTGAACAACAGTCAACTAAAATAAATATTTAAAAACAAATATATATATTTTTATTATCTATATTTCACATGCCTTTTGTCCACGAATAAGTACACGTTCAGAAAGTGTTGTTACTGCAGTACCTTTAAGTGCAACTGCCTAAAAAAAAATATAACATCTATTCATATGTAACACAATGATAAAGATTTCAACCTTTGATTTAGCTGTATTATAAACAGTAAAACTTCCTAGACCTTTTGTTAAAGCTGGTTTACGTCCAGTAGTTTTAGTAGTTTTACCAGCTGCTTTTGTTTTTATCACTGATGAAGCTTGTGATGAAAATGATGATGATTGGTCTGGACTACCTCCAGTATTTTTTGGGAGAAGAAATGGAAATATTGATGGAAGAACGCCACCTTGTGGTATTACGCAACCATGAAGTAACTAAAAGGTAATATATGCATTGTATTCTTGTCTTTTTTTTTAATATTGTTTTACTTTATTGAGTTCTTCATCAGTAGCTATAGCAAGTAAAACATGTCTTGGTATAATTCGACTACGTCGATTATCTCGTGCTGCATTACCACTTAATTCAAGTACTTCAGCTTCAGATAAAATTTATATTGTTTTTTTTTTTTTATTATAAATAAAATATTTAACTATACCTACCAACAAGATATTCAGCTACAGCTGCTAAATAAACGGCTGCACCTTTTGTTACTCGAGGCGTAGTAGTTGGAGCCGCTTTAAGATAACGATGCATACGACTAACTGGAAAAATAATTCCAGCACGCGTTGAACGTGATACACGTACTTTTTTCGATGAATTTGATACCATTTTGTATTTAAATAGAAATGATTAGTTCAAGAAAAACTAACGAGAAAAATTAGAATTATTCTTCTTTTTTTTGTGCACAAAAAAAGCTGAGAAAATGAAAGTTAACCTTGCTGCGGTTTTTTTTTTGTTGTCAACAAGAATTGCTCAATATTGTTGTAAGTTCTGTTCTGTTTGACTTAGCTTTTACAGGTTTTTTAGTTCGACAAATCAAATAAGTAAAGTCATTGACATATTGAGGTCACTAGTAACTGGAATACTATTATTAATTAGAAATAATTTATTATTCCTTAGGTAACTAAAGACAATGATAAATTATATTTGATTTTGAATAAAATGACTTCATAATAGACGATCCATAAAGAATGAAATAGTTTGATTTTCTTATCTGAAGATAGTAGCATGATTGAAAGATACTATTCTAAGCTGATACGATAGAGAGGTTTTTGTTCTACAAAATTATCGATTTCGTTCTTCCTATCGTAGAGAAATCGAAAAGATTGAGAGCTACACTGGTATTGGACTACGCCGAAATTCAAAATGGGTTGCATGATACGCCGTATTTTGTAATTTTAGGGAAAAAAAAAGCCATCGGAAGAACAATTTTTCGAGTAAAAATTAGAAAACAACGGAAAAGACTCTTTATAGACGTTCTATGCCATTAGGGATAATCTAAAGGTTTTGATTGGTCGGTTTAGATGTTACATCATTTTCTGCATAATCAAATTTCATATCTGATGATATAATGAGAAATTCTTCATAGAGAACATTAGTTTTGTTGAAAACACGAGTTTCGAAAGTGTATTCAAAACAGAATACTACCAGGTTTTAGCTTCAAGCCTTTTGAATCTGAACGACATCACTAGTAGTCTTGAAAACATCTTGCTAGCATAGAGCATAAAACTCTTTAGTTATCCATGTAAAAAACTTTACGTTTAGTGATGTGTACAAACTTAGACAAATTGTTTAATATACGAAGAAATTAGCAGGAGATCGCATTTAGGTAGTAAAGCAAACTTCAATCTTTCCAACTGTTCCGATACTATTTATGTGAAACACATTTGTTCATATATCTAATTTTTTTTTATTTTTCTTTTGCACGATATAGATTTAGATCGGTCAGATTACTGTTACTTAAATAATATTCAATAAATAAATTTCAAATATTGAAAATTGGACATATTCTATAGATCATAAAGAATTTTTCAGTTCTTTTTCAAAGTTAATTGTGTATCAGATTTGGCTAATTCTTTTTTTTCTAGTATTAAAATGTTTTGATTCTCTCGTGAATGTATAGAAATGGTTTTTTTTGCTAATTAATCACTACTTGTCTAAATGTAATCCAAGACGTTCAATGCAATAAGATTGAATAATTGAAAATTAGCCAAAACAATCAAATTTTCTGAACAACTAACAATAGTCAATCGACGAAGACAGTGCAAAAAAAAGCTAATATTCTGACAAAGATCTGTTCCAAATCATTGATTAAAAAAAAAAGAAGTTTACAAAGATCAGAGATGAATAAAAGTGTGGACACTTTTGTAAAACGATATCAACAAAAAAATCGTACCATTATTCATCATTGTAAAATATCGAATTAGAAAATCAATCGTCGGTAAAAATGTATATTCTAACTAAAAATTACCTAAATCTTTATTATTTAATCATAGATTTTTATTGTAAATAAAGGACGTTAAGCCCTGATAGACAAAACTTCATTTACTAATCTTAAAACATGAGCATAGATGAGAAACAGCATCTGTTTTCTTTTGTCCATTCTTTTCCCATTGCCTTACACTTAATCGAATCTCGGATTGATTCTTACGATTAGGATTTACATCGAGCTCTACTCAAAATGAAAATATTAACAATAAAAATTAAAATTTGAGATATTTTGTACTCAACAATCAAACCTTTTGTGATCACTATATAAATATATCAGTGTGACATTCTGATACTTATCACAATGTGAACAAGTATGTTTAACTATTATTTTTTTTTAATCATTCATTATGATTTTATCTGCTTCGATGCAAAGATATAGACAAAACATCAATAAGCAAAAAGAGAACAAAATAATGCTTGATTTTCTGTATCATTGTTAACTGTTCAATAGAGAGAACATGAAAAAAAAACGAATGTATAATAACAAAAAAAAAAAAAGTCAATAACTGCACGTATTAGCTGCCTAATTTTAGTCTCTAGTTGGAACCACATATACACACACACTCACTCATTTAAACACATCACAGCATGAAAAAATGAATATCAACGAAAACAAAAAAGCAGAGAAAGAAAAACAACACAAAAAAAAAGAAAGCACCTGATTTCAATATGAAACAAAAGGTTCAAAAGAAGAAGAAGAAGAAAACTAGGAAGAAATATATATGTAATCTAATCACTTCTATTTGTTTGTTATTGAATGCACATTCATATATACATACAAATAGTAAATCAAAACAAATGAAAGACAAATTCTAGTTCTCCTTCGTTACGTCATCTACAATAAACCATTATTTATGTACATTTGCTCTGGAAAAACGTATGTTCATCGAAGAAAAAAAAAATGCATGAAGCCGGTAATGTTATCGATGTGTATGTGCATATATGTTAGAAACTAAAAATTAAACACAAGACAAACATAATTAAAATAATATCCTACGAACGCTTATATATATATATATATCAGAAATATTCATCGCGGCTGAGAATCTACCGCGACAAAATGTAGAAAAAAGCTACCGTGATATGAAATAAAAATATTTCCCACTATCACCACGGACATCTCTGATATATATATCATAAGAAAGGCTATGAAATTTTTAGTATGTTTTGAAATTTGTTCATATAATATTTTGCAGAATGAAAATTTCGAAATTAATTTTTACAATAAATAGATAATCTAGTTTTAGATATAGCTAAATTATAAGATCGGATGGTATTCGACGATTAGAAAAAGATAAATCATTTTACTTGTATTTCAATTAAATCGTTTTCGTTTATTTGATTTTCGTGTTGTAGATTTTTTCGAAGATCTTTTTGTCGTTTCTAAAACAATAAAAAAAAAAGAAAAGAAATATGATTTTGTTTTGTTTTGTTTGAATTATTATTTTATTAAATATACCAGTATTTTCTTGTTCAGGTTGTTTAGGTGGTTCAAGTTTATAACCAACAAGTTCACACCAACCAATTGGATAAATATTTGTTGATTGACAATCAATCCATTGTTCAAAATCATCACTCCATCCATCAAAATGTACACGAATAAGATTATCTGCTATTTGTGCTACTGTCGCAACACATACTAAATGTGGTGCCATCATATCAACAGCTTCAATTTTCATTCCAACAGAAAATGGATTTGTTATTTTTTCCTAAATAATAATAACAAATAAATATCTTTTTTTTTTTTGTCATTTACTTTATTAATTTGAAAAAGTTCTTCTGGTACAGAAACTGAATTAGTTTCATGTAAATATTTTTCCCATTCAAATTCATTTTGATAACCTTAAAAAAAAAAAATTTTAAATATAATAATATTATAGTTAAAATTTTTTTACCTAATGGTGATGATAAGGAAATATTATTTGTTTTACAAAAATTTATTGGAAATATTAAACGTGAACTAGAATGATAACAAAACCAATCGGAACCATCTTCAGCACTTGATCCATCAATTGATAACATAAAATAACCATTTTTTAATACCTATCAAAAAAACAAAAAATTTCTATGATTTTTTTTTTATAAAATACAAGCTCCGAACATCGCTCTTTCGAATGGTGAAAATTGCAAATCTAAATCTTGTTCCTATCAAAAGTCATTCGCAATATAAGACTGATAAGTAACTTTTAGATCATCCTGTAAATATAAAATTTACCTTTCCAACTGTTGCTGGACAAATACGAGACATTTCTAATGGATCAACTGCTTCTAATTTTTGACCTTCTTTAAATTGTTCATCACTATTTGATACTACAGGAACCTGAAAAAAAAAGTAAAATAGATTTTTATTTTTCTTCGAATATATTTAAATAAACTTACTTTACGAAAAAGATCTGGTGTAGCAACATTAGATGAATATGTATTTGTTTCAATCATTTGTTTTGCTTCATTTTTATATTCATCAGTAGCTTCAATTTCATGTCCAGTTACATAAGACCAACCAACTGGATGTATTAATTCAGATGCATAATGAACCCAAAAATGTTCACCAGCATTCTAAATATCAAAATTTATACATTAAAAACAAAAAAAAAAGTGTTCATCATACATTTTCATAATTGATTCTTAAACGACCACCAATCTAAAATATAATTATTAAATATTTAATAAATATCTATTATTATGTACATATGAATTTTATTTTATTCTATCGTTTTAGAAATATCACATAGAAAAAAATTTTATCTTAGATTTCATATATTTCCAAGATCAAAAATGTATCAAATTAAAGAATAAATGCAATAGAATATATTCTTATTCATTTTAATTTCTCATATTTATTTTCTTGATCATTCATTGACATACCACTTCTGATATTTTACCAACACGCATATGTGATACTCGAAATTTATCAATAACTTCAACAAGCATATTTTTTTTAAATGGACATCGAAGTGATAATTGAATCTAAGAAATTTAAATAAATTAAAAGAAAAAATTCCTTTTTTTTGTTTTTTTTTACTTTTTGACGAAAACTATCTGGTAATGTTTTTGCACCAACTAATTTATTAACAAGAAATGTTTTCCAATCAGTTTGTCGATGTTCAATACCTAGAAGAATATAAATAAATCATTTTTCGAATAGAAAAAATCTTTGATAACAAACTTCTTGGTGGTGCTAATTTAATTCCATGTTGTCCACACCAACCAACACAATGAACATCTTTATTACATAAATTACACCAAAAATCCATTGATGAATCATCATCACAACCTTCATAACGTAATAATGCCAAATAACCTTCAACACGTACAATATATGCAAACCAAAAAATTTTTTCTTTTGGATCATTTGAACCATGAGAACAATCCGTATTTATAACTTCAACTTTCATACCAGATGTTAATTGTCCCCACATATCTTGTAATGGTGCCTAAAAATAAATATAATAATAATAATAATTTATTGAAATATAATTAAAATATTTACATGACGAAAAAAACTAACTGGTGCTCCATGTGCACCCGTAGTTTTTAAATAAGTACCCCATATAAATGAAGCAATAGCATCAGCTAGAAAAATAATCAAAGATAATTAAATATATATATATATAGATGAGTTCTACCTGATGCAGTTGGAATTGATATAATAGTTGTACCATTTATACGTGATGTTTGTTGTGATGGACTTATATTATTTGATGTAACAGTTGATGGTACAGATACTGTTTCATCAGATGTTATTGTTGCCATTAGTAATATGCGTTAAAACGCTAATGAACTGGGCAAAATCTAAAGATAAGAAATAGTTAAAAGTAGTTTTTTTCTTGATATTTTAACCCGCCGAAAAAAAAAAAAGAAAAAAGTTAACTTAAATGAACATGAATCTTTATGATTTGATGATTCATCGAACCATTAAGAAAAAAAAGATTTATTTCATCATCAATCAAAAAAAATCAGAGAAATTTTATAACATTTTATTTTTATTTCTATGAATATTAGTTTTTCTATTGAGTAAGAAAATTATTTTTATTTATTGATATTATATCAACAACGTAAAAAAAAACAGAATAACTAATAAATAATGAGCGACATCTATCGAAATTAAACATTCAACTATCAATAATCTAGATTAATTATGTATTATTTGTATTTTGCATTTGTACTGAAAAAGTTTTCTATTGTTGTAAAAATCATCCATTTATATTCTAAAGGATGTGAGCCTCTTAATAGTCTTACTTAGTAGTAGATCGAAGAAAATAAATGTCAAATTGAAATGAATTTTATTGTGAAATTACGGTCTATATATATATATATAAGTGGAAGTGATGAAAAAATCCATGATGATAAATACACTAGGAAAAATCCAATAAGAGTCATGAAGACGAAAGAAAAAGTCCCATATTTGACATTACAGAGAATCAAGAGAGAAGAAATACAAGAAAAATTGAACGTACTACAATAGAAATATTACGAAAATGGAAACACACATGTTCATTAAAGAAAAGTTTTTAATAGTATTCAAGTTCTGAGCTGAAAGATGTTCACCTACGAAAAATGCATTTCCAACAAAAATCGTTCTCTAAGAGACTGAGACCTTGTTTGCAATAGGAAGACTTACTATCATATAGTTTGATGTATGAAGTTCAATTTTTGTTTCATTTTTTCTCTGTTTGGTATCGTATAAAATCTTAAACTTTAGCAAATGATTGACTGAATTTTTATTGAACATATTTTAATGTACCTAAATGCATGTCTTTATTGTTCTCGTTAAAGTAAACATTTTCACTTTTTGTCCTGAACTTACACAGAGAGAATATTTCAAAGAGTTATGTAATAGTTGCAACTCGTCTAATATTAGTTAATTGTGCTCCAAGATCAGTGAAATATGATATACATAGAGTTTCGTTTTTGTGTACTCAAAAAGTGAGTACACTCTAGAATCGGTCAGTATGTCCGTCCGGCCGTTAACACGATAACTTTCAAAAGGAGAGTCAGATCATGATGAAATTTTCTACACAGTTTAGTCTCGGTCGAGTTCGAAGATGAGAACGATCCGTCAAGAAATGGCTGAGTTATCGAAAAAATTGTCATTATTGACCAGACCATCCCTGAGGGGGGGTACAAGGATTTTTTCAAAAAAAAAGAATTTTTCTCAGAATTATTCACAACATATATAAATCGACTCAGTTTTTAATGCTGATTCCGAATCTGATATTAGTTTTGAACCAAATTGTAGCCTTCTAACAAAACATCGCCTGAAAAAGGTCTCAAAATGTACAAAAACTGCATCCAGAAAGCAAATTGCCTAGATATATCTCAGATGATAAAAAACAAAGTGAATATCCCGATTCACTTTTTGAAGTACACATAACACTCGGATTTAAATCCGAGGTTTTCACATTTTATTTCTTATATATTAGAATGAACAATTTCGCCAGTTGACATATATAAATAATAATGTTTGATATGTGAGTTTAATTTGATTATCGATAGTTACCTTATTATTTCTTAATAATTTTCAATTCAATAATAAGAACTCATAAAACAATCTGTAGGATTTACTTTCATTACTATTCGATACATTCATAATATCATAGCTCTTTTTTTTTTTATTTATGTTACACATATTTTTCTAAATATAATTTTTAATCACAACATTTATATCTCTTATATTTGGCATTATCATTCATAGCACGAATCATTTTGTCATTTGGTTAAATAAAAATATTTTTGTATCTGATTTTGTTCATCTCTAACAATACGTGCTTGAATAGGAATCTTCTGAAATAGATTGACTATCATGATAAGAATTTGATATACATATATAATGATTAATATGAAATTTTATCGTTATGTTGTTGTTTTTTTTTATTCAAGTAAGAAAGTATTTTTTTTCTCATATTACCTTCTTTTCATGATCACACGAATAAACACTTATTCAAAATCACTTTTTGTCGTCATTTTTAAGTGAAATAAAAAAAAAAAGCGACCGTTAAGTGGCATCCGACATAAGTGTTCTTCTCTACTCAAGAAAAAAAGTAGACAGGCAGTTAAAAAAATATATACTAGCTCATTCATATTATTGATGATAGATGAATGAGAAGAGAACAAATCGATTAGTTGAATTGAAACAAGTATTAGCTTTTTGATCATCATGGAGGCGGGTAGTAACTTGTTCAAACTATCAACTTGATGTTTCTTTTAAACGTTCAAATGTATTCTTGATAGCAATCATAAATGAACGTGTACGTATAGGTATATTTTCATTACTTATTGATGAAAGTGATGAATTTGATGATAATAAATCTTGTTCTTGTACAAATTCATCTTGTTGTTTAATTAATAATGGTGTAATTATTTGATGACAATAATAATTTTGATATTTATTATCATATGAATATGTACGTTTTAATGGTGCATGAAATAATTCTTGAACAAATGATAATGTTGGTGAAAGTATATTATTTACTATAGTTTGTTCTGAATATGAAATCATTTTATGAGATGATAAATGTTGATCATCAACTATTGATATAAATATATATATGAAAAAAAGAAAAATCATATTTGTAAATAGTTGAAAGATAGGTTTGATATATGTGACTTCTAAATAAAATACTGAAGATGCACGGAAGGATATTATTAGATTAATACAATCTTCAATGTATTATTATTGGCGAGATATAAGATTCTCGACTTCTATGTATTTAACTATGAACAAAATATTTTGATTTTTAATTATGGAAAAGCGGTATTTTTTTAAAATCCTATGTTTTAATCACAATACATATAAAATAAATCCTATTGAAATATTGTACGAATCTAAATAATGAATTAAATCTCATAAATTTCTTTTTCTATCTAATCAACACAAAAATAAAAAGACTCCTTAGATTTAAATTTTAGACTTCACTGAGTTTTAGCCTATGTTTATTTTCCATCAAAAATATATTAATATATACATTCATTTACAAAAAGAAGAATATTTTCTGCTTTTTAAAGTGTCCTCCTCATGCGATTTGACAATTCGAATATCATAGGAACTTTTATAGATCCAAAATGATAATGAGTATACTTCAAAAGAAGAAGGATATTATTAAAGATTAAATAGATCACAATATAGCCGTAAGACATTTTCAGATTTTTCTATTCAACTCAATGTCAATAGTTCTGCCTATAAATGATGTATTTTTGAAATTAATGATTACCTTCAAATTTATTTTTTATAATTAAATTCGATTGTATATTAGTTTCAATTTTTTGTCTTATATTTATTGTTTGAAATAAATTAATTATACGTTGAATATCATTATTATTATCTATATTTAATTTTTTATATAATAATTCAAATAAATAAAATTTTATTTGTTCATTATTATTTGTACATTGATTAGATAAATAAATAAAATCATCAATAGATATTTTATTTATTAAATTATTTATATATGTAAGAAGAAATTTTAATATATCAAAACGTATATAATCTTTTTTTGAAAATAAATTAATTATATTTTTTATATCTAACCAATTAAGATTATAATAAGATAATTTATATCGAAGTGTTTGTAATAATTGTAAACGTTGTTCATCATTTGACATTCGTGTAAGTATCGTTAAAAGCATAATAATATTCAAAATAAAAAAATATTTACGCGCACAACTTTTTGTTGTTGCTTCTTTTTTTAACAATCAAAATCTATTCATGGTTCGATTGTTATTATTAGATTTTTTTCTTTTTTTTTGATCGATACCAATCAATCAAATTGATTGTATGTTAAAATATTTTAATTTGCATTTATTGTCATCATAATGTGACGAGCGTATGCGCGCATGATTTTGTTTGATGAACAGCAATATTTTTAATGAACTGCTCATTAGAATATCTTTTTTTTTTTCACCTTGTTTCTATGCACAGCAGCAAGTCAAAACTTTCATCTTTCTTATATTTTATTGTATTATATTAAAAGAGAGGGAGACAAAAAAAAACAAAAACAACGATATATAATTATTCATTTGATATTTTTATTTGAAACAATCGGTAAATGATAAGTTTGTAAATCAACAGGTGTTCTAATATTAAAAAAAAATAGTGAATATTAAATAAATGAAAAGATATTTTAATATACCGAGTTATATTTGCTGATGGTGATCGAGGATCAATAACACTAGTCAATTGTGGTTGTGTTTCAATAGTATGAATTGATGGAATTTGATAGAGATTTTTTATTCGACGTTGAATACTACTCATGATGTTTTTTTTTTGTCTGTTGAAACTACAATAATTTGTTAGGTTTAAATATTTGGTTGTTTCTCTTCTTTTCTATTGCGTTTTTCTTTTCTTTTTTTTTTATTAACAAAAAACACCTACCTATAAACAGATATGCATTCTTTTTTTTTTAGTTATATATTTATAATAAGTAGGCGTTCATTTACTAATAGAATAAGTATTGTTATATTTGATGTCGTGCATACTTAGTTTACATATTTATTCATGGGTTGTTTCTCGAGTTTCTCTTTTTTTGTTTGACAAAAAAGAAATGCCTTACGGCTACCTGCTACTACTACTACTCATCATATTAAATGTATTGACTTGACAAGAGAACGTTACTCTTTTTTTTTTTTTGTTTTTTGAAGTAGAAAAAAAACAACTGTGATGCATACCGCTCTCTAGTAGTAGTGGCATAATCACAGCTTGATTTGATTTTCAAACATCTTTATTGTACACGTGTCAAAAATGTTACCTTTTCCTTGTCGTTAAGAATAGACATAAACAGATGCATAACAAGAAATTTCTCGAGCAAAGATATTACATCAGAAGAATAATAAAATAATATTATGATCGATCACTTGAATATATTCATCATCATCATCATTGTTATGAGTGACTGCTCGTGGCATATTGTCAACATACCTGTAAATGGATGTATCAATTACACCATCATCATATGAATGGGTGGAGAAAGCTTGTGAAAAGCACATCTGTTTCGAGAATGTGAATAGCATTAGCAATAATAATAACAAGTAGAGTGTCAAAAAAAAACACATAACTATAATCGATGTTCTATACTTAAAAATATGCTCTTATCAAATATATAGTAGCTCACACTATGTAATCTTCAAATATTCAAAAGAAATATTTATTGATATTTCCGATATTTAGTCTTAACCTATTCAATTTAATGTAATGAAAGATGAAATAAGAATTTGTATTGATATAAATAAAAAAATTCTGAAATAATACAAGATTAAGAATTATGATATACTCTTATGATAATTAATAGTTTTTATTATGATTTAAATGTTTGTATACTTGAAAAAAGATTTTCAGATGTTTACTATTCTTGTTTAAGAATTTTGCATTTTCAAATATTATAATAGTTAGTCGTATTTTTTTTTAGTGAAACACTCTCCATCATAAAAATCCTAGATTTACTACACTGATTGTTCACTATAACCGTAAATCATTTTTTTAAATATTTCTATAAGAATAAAAATCCCAAGAATATCTTTTAGGAAAATCATGAAATTTATTTTCTATCATCATTATACTACTATAAGGTTCAAAGAAAAGTTTTCATACGTTTGATCGTTTTATGTTTACTAAGCCTAAGGGATTTAATTGTACTGTATGTGTCGATCAAACAAACTCGGCAACACACACACTGTCTATCCTAATAAGGGTAGTATAATGTGCGAAATGATGCTGCTGTTCTTACACGCTTCAATGATGATCATAGAATAAAAAGAGATTTATTTTTCGTTTCGCTTCATAGCCAATAGATATTTATTTTCTGGTCAATGTAAAGAAAATTGAACCAATCAATTGAAAGAGACGAAAAAAAAATATATATATATAGAAAAAATTGTTTTATCGTTACTTCTTTAAATATAAGCAATAAAATTTTTTCAACCAACACACATATATACAAACAACTGATCAATGTAAGTTCTATATATATATATTTTTAATAATTAACTGATTGATTATTATTTCTCTCATATTAATCAACCATGCTTGTTTTCTCGGCATGAAATCCGCATATCTATATATGTTGATAGACTAGACCTCCTATGTAGTTTTGTCAACTGGCAATGACAAGTACCGTACATCATCACCTGGCACCATGTGATGTGCGTTTCTTGCCGAACTGTTTGAAGATAGAATCCAGCTGTGCGATTTCTTCGTTTTTTTTTTTTTTTTGTTGCTAGTCTCATCTTTCTCTTTTCTGTAATCATAATAACAGACACAAAACTACCGATATGTAATCTAATGGATATAAAAGATCAGATTTTTAAATTAATGGATAAAAGAAAAAAACTTTTTTTTAAAATTTTCTATAGATAACCGATACATTATTATTATTATTATTATTAACAATAACAATGTCAAATGATCGTCAACGTGCACGTCAACTAAAATATCATGTTAATCAATTATTATCAGAATTACGTATAATTGAATCAAATAATAATATTCCACCACCATTAAATATATCAATTAATTCACAATTAACAACAATAACACATGAAGAAAATTGTTGTCCACTTCTACCATATAAACAAAAACCAGTTATATTACATTCAACAACAAATAATGAATGTCGAAAAAAATCAAAAAAATTTTTATTTGCTATATCAATACAAGCAACAAGTACACCAAAAAATTCTCCAATTCATAATAGATTTATAATTAAACCTCATTATACATCAACACCAAGACGTAGTAAATGTCATTCAATTGGTTTAGCTTTACCATCAAATAATATTATTCCATTAAAACGTCTTCTATATAATAAAGATAATAAACAACATAAACGTCGACATTCATCTGTACCATTTTCAAAACGTTCAAATTTTCCACGTTTATATCCAATTGATGAAAATTCACAATGGATTTAAATTGTTTTCTATGTACAATTTAATCTATTTTTTTTTTTTTTTTTGTTTTTTGTTTCTTATCAAAATAAAATATATATTAAGATTTAGTTATTGATGTTTAGAAAGAAAACAGCATGAATATTCATTCTTTGATGATATTAGACGGAACAAAGAAAAATAGAAAATCTATTATAGAATACTGAAATATTTTCAAAAAAAAAATTCTAAATTTTTGTTTTTTCTAATATCGATTTTGATTTTAAGAAAAATTTCAATTATTATAAATGTAAAAAAATAAAGAAGTATATTCTTAGGTGAATGACGATCTATTTTTTTTTTTTTTCATAATCATAGATATGATGAGCATATCATGCGAGTACGCGAAATGTATTGATTTTTATAGTGAGACTATGTGAAATTTCTAAGGCGTCTAGAGGAATTTAGAATAAAGAGGTTGATGACCTCTAAAATGTAGTTTTACTTGTAATTACCGTTATACTTTATCTTTTTCTTTGGAAGTTTTTAATGGTAATGAATTTCTAATGAAAAATTTCAACTATTCGAATCTACTAGTAATTATAAAGTAGTTTTGTAATAACTAACAAATTTAGATATAATATTTTCTTTCGTAGATATTTGCAACAGTTTCAAATATAGATACTCAAAAAGCATTTTTTTTGTTTTTCATCTGTACATCAGATAAAAATGATTACAATCTTACTATTTGGAAGAACATTCGTAGGGACATATGAAACTCGATGATTCTTTTTTGTTGTTGATTATAGTAAGTCATCAATCAAAGAATATTCATATCTATGATGTCTTATGAAAAGATACTGTCCAATGAAAAATGTTACGTTTTAATAAGAAATTTATTTTACATAATGTTGCTCTATTGTTTCTTTTTCTTTGACACATAGTGGTATAACACTTTTTTTTTAAAATCTATCTATGCGAGAGATTTTGCATTGATTATCTTGTCTTTTTATATAAGGAAAATTTCTAAAAAAGAAAATCAAAAATTTTTCAAATTTCTTTATTTCATTTATTGGTAAATAGAAGAAAATTTACAGAATTTTAAAATAGGATAATATTTAATAAAGATTTTTTTGTTCGACAACAAGATCATATGTCTCCAACAAAACAATTAATGCCAGTTAGTAATGATCGGTTTCTGAGAAAGTCATTTTTTGAAACTGAGATGACAGTACATCGAATGAATAAGTTTTTTTTTCACATACGAGAATTGATAGTGAACAAGACTCATTTTTTTTTCAACATCACATGAACGATATCATTTAATAGTTTTCAGTTTCTAAGAAAAACAACGGATGAAAGCGAGTTCTCTTGCTAAGTATATTTAGATAGACGAAAAGTTCTAATGATCAATATCCAATAAATATCACTTGATGAATCCAATCTATCCTCCCGAACATGTCTTGATTGAAGACGAATGTCGCTTTTGTTGATTCATATTTCGAACAACAAAGGAAATATAAAGAATACAATACGTAAGTAATTTTTCTGTTTCCTCGCATTTTTTTTTTTTACTGGGCCGTTTATGAAAAAATAATAGAGTGATTGAAGAATTGTGGAATGGACCTGAAGATGAAGACTGGTGCTTACTCCTGACGAGTGATGATTTGAGTTTCTGACTCTTTGAGCCTTATATATAAAACTTTGAAGTGGATTTCTTTTACAAATTTGGACTAACAAGGAAAATTCAACCTTTGAATTTCGATATCGAATCTGGCAGAGATGTAGACTACATCTAAATACATTTGAAGTAGCGTTATTAGAGTGTTTGAATAGTTTTTTTCTGAGATATGAAAACTTTGAAAAATTTTTACTTTCCAAGAAATGTGTCTAGTTTTAAAAACTCGGTATTTCATAAAAGAATTGTTGAAAAATTTCATTTATGCTGCTTCAAATGTATTTGGGTCTGATCTACATCTGTAGAAAGTTTGACGTCGAAATTCGAAGGTTGAATTTACTCTGAGAACTCATCTTGCTTAGAGAAACCCTCTTGGACACTTGACTGATTCTGGGATTAATCATCATTCTTAAAGATCTCCCTCTTGAAAGTAGTGTCATGCAATCTGATCGGGCACCGGGTATAAAAAAATACCGGGTCGGGTACAGAATTAGAGCATACCCGGTACCCGACCCAGCAGTCACTGACATCTGAATATGTAAAAATCTTTTGCTTTCCACGATCGTTATTTGTTAAAAAAAGATATGCGTATCAGATCGATTCGACCATGATTCATCAATGCATTATATTATAAACTAAGAATCAGAACAATTTACGCAATCGATGATCAAATTTTCCGCTTTTCATGTTGAACTGAACATTGAAACAATTTATTTGTAACTGGTACACGATTTCAGTGAATAATTTTGGTACATTCTAGTTCGCAACAATTCAAGAATGAATGATGTACCAAATTCATATTTTTATACTTAAAGTGTAAGAATTCATTTGTAACAGTAACATTATATTATTGTATTTTTGTGAAATTGGAAGAATTTTAGAAGCGCGACGGCAGCAACTGAATCCTGAGTCTCTTGATTCACTTTTTTTTGAGAAATTTTAGATGACTGCTTTTTGTTCGTGTTAATTGATAAAATTAAAACAATAGTATATTTTGTAATATGAAATAAAAGTTTGAACAGTATATGTAACTTTGACAATACCAGTTAAATGCTAACTATTTCAAGGCCGGGTCGGGATCGGGTGCAAAAATTCGTACCCGTGCAGGACACTACTTGAAAGTAGTATCGTTCTAAAGTGATTTAGCCTTTGGATATCCTTGATCTTCAGCTGAACGACACTTTTCAATTGCAAGTCGAATATAATAAGGAGTAAAAGTCAACCACGATACAATTTGTTCTGCAATTCTTTTCGAGATATTGATCAAGAACAAAACAGGTACGAGCCTCGTGTTTTTGGCGAATTCCAGAATCTAATTTGACTTTATCTAGGTTCTTCTCTCTGCGAATTAGTCCAGACCGAGATTTTTCGTACTCAGCAAACGTCCTATATTAGGCACGCTTTTGGTACTTCATCTGAATCATTGACTCTTTCCCTAAGGACAAAAACGATGGTGACGAACAACGTTTATTCAACACTAGTTTTGTTTCCGTAGCAAATAGTTTAATGTTCAGAAACATTTTAAAAATAATAAACATTGAAAAGTAGAGACTTGAACTGAACGTTTTCACACAATTCGGATTTATCGATCATTGTAACGACTCCATAACGATTGATCGATTTTCTTCAGTGAGCAGACCATTGGATTTCAATCGAACGGAACTTTTCAACATGCTATAGTTTTCTTTTGCTCACTCAAATCCATTGATAAACTCATCTATAAGTGATCCATTTGATCTGTGTCCATCTTAAATCAATGCTCATCTACATTGTTATTGCAGTAGATAATTGAAATGCAATATTGACATTAAAGAAAAACATTTTCAATCACTTTTTTATTCTTGTTGAATATGTTAAAGTTGGTTGATCAAGGAAATAAAAATATTGTAGACACAATGTCAATGAACTTATCTTCTTTTCATACAAATGATGAACATCATATTGTGATAAACAATAGACAATTCGAAAAATGATGAAAGTACTTCTCATTTTTTACATAACATTCCATTCTAATCCGTTGCCACAACAATCATTCCTATGCATGATACAAGGTAACTGAAAAATATTGTTTCAGTGAAGAGGATCTTAGTTTTCACTCTGCAATGGTGGGAGTCAGAAGTGAAGATTGTTTGAAGTTCTCTAATAAAAATTTTTCATCAAGTTTACATTCACTATCGTAGCTGAATGTCGATTGAAATCCACGTAAAAACTAAGAAAAAAAGTCGATACAAGTCATAACATTCTCATTCTGGTTGTTGCAATTCTAGCTGAGTGCAGCAATGCGTTTCTTCATCGAGAATATCGTGAGACGTTCTGCGTAAATGGGGGATAATTTCTTAAACAACTCCGTCTTTGTTAAAACAGAAAAGAAACGCCACTATTTTTTCAACTTGAGAAAATACTTCGGAAAAATATAAGTATTTTTTTTTCTTTCTTTCTTTAAAGCCAAACAAATCAAACAGTGCAATGTAAAGTCAATAGAAAACGGTATAAGAGTGGCTTGCATTTGTTAGAAATTCTTTTTAGATAAAAAAAACGCTTCTGGTGAGATCTTTTTTAGTTTAGTGCCAAAGCAATTATGTTAGTCTGGTAATGTTTGATCTTATACAGCCCAGAGGAACTATCTAATTTCGATGATGTCATTTTTCTTCTTTGACTTCTACCTATTAGGCATTTTATTTCTATTATACCATCTTCCTACATATTGGATCTCTCAATTTTGCCATGTCTCTTTTTTTCCAATAGGAACCAGTATTATATACTTATATTTCCTGTAACTAATCAAAGTACGGAAACTATCATCGATCATCGTTTTAATTTTTGGATGTCACTTATTAGTTAGACAATTTTACGATATTGAATGAATGGAGATGAAATAAATATTACCACAACTATTAGATAATCTTAAAATGTACTGAGAAATAAATTGCAGTTTGTCTTCTGTCACTTTATACATGAATTTCCACGTTCAACATTATTTTTGCACAGATTTCGCTTTTGAAAAGTTTTGAGTCGTTTCGATTTTCTACTAACTGCAACAGTATCACAAGTCTTATGACTACAATCTATCTATATAATTTAGTAAAGAACAGAACAAGATATCTAATATAAATTCAATCAGATCAAGTGAACAGTAGAAAATCGAAAATTACTATAAGATTGGTTTTTTTCTGGTGCTCTTCTAGTTCGAAACGGATGACGATATTTTTAAGCTGACTAACTTCAGATTTGTTTATAGAAAAATATTTGAGCAATATAAAAAGAATTGACAATATTTGATATCTTTTTATTCTATTCTCATTTTCATGGAACACTGAACTTTATTTATTTTTTGCCATCGATTATATTCTATTAGTACTCGAATTTTCAGCATTTTTTAAATGTTGTCTTCTTATTCTTAATACAAGACATCATAAACCATTCTGCCCTTTTATTTATGTATGCTTTAGAATAGTACCAGTTCATATGTGCGCAGCATTAGAAACAGCTGCAAGTGTCGAACGTCGAAAACTTGCCCTTGTGATTGGGAACAATAACTATACACAGTCTCCACTTACCAATTGTGTTAATGACGCTATAGACTTAAGCAATCAACTAGCAAAAGTTGGGTTTCGTTTGCGCATTGAAGTGGATGCCAACTATGAGGATATGGATAATGGCATAAAAAAATTTGTGAACCGTATTATGCCTGATGATTTCGTCCTCTTTTTCTTCGCTGGTCATGGAGTACAATGGGAAGATCAAAACTATTTGATACCATGCGATGATAATGTAATTAAAGAGTTCATTGATTTGAAATATCGAGCTACGAATGTGCAGCGAATTTTTGAACTGATATCTGCTAAAAATCCTTCCGTCATTTTGTTTTTTCTTGATTGTTGCCGACCGTATCGATTGCCAAGTATGCCTAGAAGCATAAATAGTACAGATTCATTTCAAGGAATGGCTCCAATGCCCGCTTTACCTGATTCAATGATTGTTTTTGCTTGTGTTCCTGGAAAAACGGTCATCGATTTTACATCGCCAAATGGACGAAATGGCGTTTTCGCTTATTGTCTGTTGCAATATCTTATGACGCCAGGTGAAAATATAACAGTTCTAATGATTGATGTAACTCATGCAGTTGCTAGAGAAACAAGCAATAAACAAATACTTTATACTACAAATGCGTTACATAGATCAGATGTATATTTAGTATCACCGAGAATACAACAAACAAATCAAGAAGACACAGTATACGCAATGACACGATTGAACAATCAATCCACAAAGAAGAGTAAGTATGAACTTGAATATTCGTAGATTTTGCTTTCTTGAGTTAGGTTGAGTTGCGTCTTCTATATAGTGAGCTTCATCCTTTGTATTTTCTTCTTTGAAAATCTCAAAAATCGTTAATATGCTTTCGATTCACATTTGTATGTCGTTCTTTGAAGGAGTGGCCGACACACGTTAAATTCAGTGTTGGTATTGAAGAATTAGTAGGCGAACTAAGAGTCTTATTCACACATTGCGCAATGATTCGAGAAGAATCTAAAACTTCAGTGTAGATTTATGCCAAAAAATTGAACAGAAAAAGAAAGAGTATCGAAAGTGAAATAGTTAGAATAAGGTATACGTGTGAGTGTGAATTCTCTCTTTCATTCCACCCTCTCGCCATAGGTTAGTCGGTAGGATCCGATTGACTTGTCTCGAAGAGAAAAATTATTCTGTTATGAAGGATACAAGCAAGAAATACATATTCATCTTTGGGACACTAATAGGTAATATCGCGATCGCGTTAAGACGATTAATTATTTTTTGACAACCAGTTTTATATGAAATGACTTTGCTATTGATAAGCCTTCAATAAGGCTAAGTGGTATAGATGAATGCATTGATGAGAAATCTTTTGCTTCGAAAAAGTTTCAAGTCTGTATACGTAGAAATAACGTTTTGAAGTTTCGTAAGAAAAATTCTTTCGTTTAAACTGTGGGAGCAAAGACGTCCTGAGAAGTCTTAAACATATTCTTGAAAGTTTTGTCAAGTTCTGTCTATTAGATTCCTTTTCCTTTTATTTTAAAAAACGAATATTAACGTAAGCTGTCTCATAAAAAGAAATAAGAACAACAAAAAAGAACTAGTAATTACATAAAAATAATAACGCTCTTCTATTAGTAGAAAATCATAACTTCTACCGAAGAAAAGAAAAAGAATAATAAAAGTAATCTTCTTGCATTAAAGAAAAAAAAACATGAATCTTATTTATGTAATTAGAGAAAAGAAATCGTCTATCTATATAACAGATATATAGATAACGATCCTAACACCTTCGAAGACGAATGTATCATTCGGAACTATTTCCTTGGAGAGCATGATCTTGTCGACAACAATAAGGATTCCTTTCTTTTTTTTGTCCCTTAGTGCTACTCAATATTCCAACCAATGCTCAATGGACTCAGAATGGAGTGACTGTTGCTGGAGGCCACGGAGAAGGTAATGCCACCAATCAACTTGACCGTCCTTTTGGTCTCGTTGTTGATGATGAACAAACAATAATCATTGCTGACGCATGGAATTATCGTGTTGTCCAATGGAAAATGAATGATACGAATGGACAAGTAGTAGCTGGTGGTCATGGTCTTGGTTGTCGATTGAATCAATTACATTTTCCAACTGATCTGCTGATCGACAAAGAGACGAATAGTCTCATTATCTGCGAGTGGCGTAATCGACGAGTTGTACGATGGTCACGCTCTAGTGGTACAACTCAAGGAGAAATCCTCCTTGACGGCATAGATTGTTTTGGATTGGCCATGGATGATCAGAAATGTCTCTACATTTCTGACTTCGAAAGACATGAAGTCAGACGGTATCAAATGGGGGACAATAAAGGAATCATCGTAGCCGGTGGTCACGGCAAAGGTGATGGTCTTAATCAACTTCATTGGCCGACTTACATATTTGTTGACCGACAAAAGACAGTCTACGTGTCGGACTACAAGAATCATCGTGTGGTAAAATGGTATAAAAATGCAAAAGAAGGAATTGTCGTCGCTGGAGGCCATGGTGCAGGAAAGTCTCTGGCACATTTGGTACATCCAAAAGGACTGTTCGTCGATGCATGGGATAACATATATGTGGCAGATGCGGGAAATGATCGAATAATGCGTTGGCCTAATGCAGCAAAACAAGGTACTGTAGTCGTGGGTGACAATGGTGAAGGAGACGAAGCAAATCAATTAAGCAATCCTTGGGCTTTGTCATTCGATCAACATGGCAATCTCTATGTTGTTGATCATGGAAATGATCGAGTTCAACGCTATTCTATTGAATAAACTCATAAACATAATTCATTTTTTGTTTCGATAGAATAAATAGTGATCAATCAAAAAGAAATGGTTATTCGAAGAACAGTAATTTTCACTCCTATTCTATGCGGGCGCGACCAGAAACCATTCTAGTGTTGTCATAGAGGTGCGAAGGTCATATATGTATGATGCATACTCAAAAAATTTCCTGAAAGGCCTATCGAAAGCAAAACTTACACGAAGAATGGTTATATGTTTAAACACACTAAAAAGTGTGAAATATATAAAAACCAAATAATTAGGATATGGATGTACGCGATTGATTATAATGAGACGATCTATACCTACATCCTTTTTTTGTCACTTAGAGTGCACTGGCATACAGCGGACACTTTTTTGCAAGATATTCATCCAGTTTTGTTAGTGACCGCGTTGATCAATAGTATCGACGTTATGTCAATAACAAAAACATCTATAAGCTAAAATTTAACTCAAACTAATACATAAAAAGAAAATAATGAATATAAGCAATCGTACAAACTTGTTAACTCTTTATCGAAAAGGTATTTCATTGCTACTAAAAGATAGTAAGCTATGGGATACTTCACCATATGAATAAAAAAATTAAGTATACTTCAACTGTCTCTTTTCTGTTATCATATAAATATTTTTGTCATTTAAATGATACATAAACTGTCTAGATATAAACAGACATCAAACTAAGATATGTAAGATAGCAAGAAAGAAACTTCTATTATTAGGTCTTCATTCCTTGTGTGATAAATCCATATGAATAGCTCTTCTATAGTAGAATATTCTGTGAGATGCACTTCGTGTTTCTCTACTTCAATATTTAATTTCAACCCCGTTTTTTGAAACAATTTAATCAATTAGGACCATGATTAAAATCAACGATAGATGACTACAACTTACATAACTTGATTTTACAGGCAACAGTTAGATGCAATGTTTACTTATAAATAGCAAACTCCAGATAACATCGATTCGTAGAAAACAGGGGCTACATAGTGTAGAATATTTGTGTAGTTTTATTTTCTTCTGAAGAATCGATTTACTGTCATGTAAATGCCAACAATCAAGCAGCAATTTTTTGTGTAAAACTTTTTTCATATTTTATTTTATCTTGAAAATTACTGGTGCTGATGTTCTCATCCATTCGACAATTAAAGTGTGATCTTTTTCTTCCACAATATAAAAGATTTATCTTGCTATTTTGAAGATGAAATAAAATATGAAAAAAGTTTCTCTCGAAAGCTGCTGCTCGATTTTTAGCATTTATATGGCAACGAATTCGTTCTTCAGAAGGAGATAAAACTGCACGACTATTCTATACTCTCTGATGTCTGATTTTCTATAAACCGATGTTACCTGAAGTTTATTGTTATTTATAAGTAAACATTGCATCTTACTATTGCTTGTAATATCAAATAATGTGTGTGTTGCAGTTACTTTTCATTGATGTTAATTGCAATATTATTTTCATTAAAAATATTCAGTTTTAATGCGTTGAATAAAACAACATGATAAACTAGTTGTATATTATATATGTCGTGCCAAAGTTATAACGGTTGCCTAAGTTATAACTTAGGCAAAAATTTTGCCAAAGTTACAACTTGGACGTTCTTTCTTGCCAAAGCTATAACTTAGACGTTCATATTTTGTCGAAGTTGTTCCTAACATATAAATCAATATATTGATTTATTTGTCAGGAACAACTTCGACAAAATATGAGCGTCTAAGTTATAACTTTGGCAAGAATGAATGTCGAAGTTATAACTTAGACAAAAATTTTGCCTAAGTTATAACTTTGGCAAGAAAGAACGTCCAAGTTATAACTTTGGCAAAATTTTTGCCTAAGTTATAACTTAGGCAATCGTTATAACTTTGGCACGACATATACATTAGAACGCTGTTAGTATAAGCAGAACGTACACAATGAAAAAAGTCTGAAATTAAGATTTATATAGTGTTAGTATGTAAACTGGGAAGAAATGTTTTTCTAAAAATTAACATATTAATGTTGATATATAAGAAAAAGATCACTGTTAAAATATGAAGTTTTGGACATTTTTGACTGTGCACAATGAGTTAAATAGTAGGAAAGTACCAATCTTTATAACGCCTTAATTTTGACGTTTCTGACTGCATGGATTGTTGTGATAAGATGAAACTATATATATATATCTTTTATAGTGGAAATGAGATATGAGAATTTGTGTCTTTTACAATCATCATTTCGTGTGTTTTTGTTTCTTTTTAACTTTCCATCGGAAAATTCCTTTTAGTTCCAGTTGTTTTCTCGTTTTGAAAACATGACAGTTGAGATAACTTGTAAACGACTTTTGAAATATAGCAATGTGGATAGACAGGAAAGAAACGATAATTATCTTCCATAGTGCTCAATGGACCATTCATTGATGAAAACGCTTGTATTGCAGATAAGAATCCAAATGTGAGCAAAGATATTAATAAATACGTTTCATAATATTTTTCGAAAATTCTGAGATAAGTATCATACAGAACCCAAAAGCCACGCCAAAGAAATAGACACGAAGCAAAGGCCAATGCATGAAAAATATTTCGATGGAATTGAGGAAAATTGGCTCGAAAAGCTGTCCAAAATTTATATTTCACATTGAATTTCTTGAAAAAATATTGACAATACATCAATGGAAAATAAAGAGGGTAACCAATCAATAAACAAATCCAAATCGATTTAGCCGTATCATCAGGATACAAATATTGATCGAGAATAGCATAAAATCCATGCCAACCGATGATTGTTATGTTAGAAATGATAAATTCGTAAAAAATAAAATTGATCAAATTAGTTTGCCATCGCTTCATCTGCAAAAATAAATCATCTATCAGTATGCTTTTTTTTTTGACAATAAAATTCTTACATGTTCTGTTGCAAGAGGACATTCAAATCGAATACAATATTCAATCGAATCATAACTGACAACAAATGGTGAACAAACCATATCCGATAAAGTTCCTGTAATAACCATCAATAAGAAGAGTGCTACTAATGATAGAAGCATCATAAATGCCCATTCTTGTGAAGTGTATTGATCTAAAATAGTCCAAATCATTTCCCATTGAAAAATATACATAAATGCCAAAATCAATATATGAATTTTCAAAAGAATCATCTTGACAAGAATATGTTGTCGTTTGAGAAAATTGTAGAATAGATCTTGACCAACATAGAAAATGAGAAATAAAATTTCAACGATCACATAAGGAACGATTAATGATTGAGGTGAATATTCACCATATCCTGCATCAGTATAATCTTCTCCATCGAGATTATATGTCAATGGGTAGCCATTTAATGAATTAAGCATAGTAACAGTAAGATTCCATCCACAATCCCAAAAGAGAACAAGCAGTGGAAAGAGAAGACAAACAATGAGAATCGGTTCGGCAATGAATAGTAAGAGATAACAACCTTTTGGTTTGACAACAATTTTTGGACTATCATCAACTAGACAAATAATTTGTGTTAGTCGACGTTGATTGGTTCTTCCGTCAGGATTAGGAAGCGGTTGTGATAGTTCAGAATCAATGATTTGAACTTGTTGATCATGATATTCATTATCGAATTTCTTCGCAACGATCGATAATCGACGTTGATTATTACTCGATATACTCAGACGAGGAGTTCTTCCTTCGACCAAAAAGGTGGGTGCACATGGCTGATTGGTTTCAAACATTTGTCCATTGTTATTTTCAATGGACATGTCAAATACTTAGTGACCTTCAAACAAAACCAATTCTATTGTTATCGACTAGTGGAAAGTCACAACAGCTCAATACGCACAAATATGCAGATGCTGAACAATGTCGCAAAATATAGTACACTATGGAGAGTTGGAAATAGATTATGGATATTGTTAAATGATGTAGAAATCTTGTGGGAATTTTGTACACGTCAATAAACCGAGCTCGGTCTGAAGAAGAACTTGTATAATATGGAGTTAGCTGTGACTCATCTTCATAATTCGTGTCGATTGGAATATGTCTGATGATCTACTAAATTTATACAATTATTTTGAAGTAAGATAAGCTGGTGCTCTTTAAGAATATCGTACACAACCAATGGCGTAGCCAAGGGAGGAGCAAATGGACAATTGCCCATTTCATTTGAAGATTCTTGTTTTCAAAATCAGGAAAAAAACAGAATTTTTTCTTCTAAATAGAAAACTAATCTGAAAGAGTAACTTCTTGCAAACTAAGGGCTACCTTGTTGACATATTTTCACAAAATGCTTCACTTTTTTTTTGTTTATCAACTCGTACTTTGTTTCCAAAAGTATTTTATAGTAAAGAAAGATAACACAAACATTATGTAGCTTAGAGTAAAAGATCGTATATTGTAAGCTAAGAATATTGATCATAGTTGGGTCAAATGAATGCTCTCACTGTCAAACCAACTAATTAAAAATATGAGCTGCCAATTTTGTACACAGACCGAGATGTTTACATTTCAAGAAATTTACAGTCTTTTATGTACCCACCTACGAAATTTCATCAACGCTTAGTTTTCTTTTTTCATCGTAGTTGAATGGAGCACGACCATTTACATAAGAAAAAAACAATATTACGCATATTAAAAAGCAAATTCTACGAAGTCTAGGACAACATTTTTGTAATTGAAAGATAATAAAAACAAAAAATTCTGATTGCTATCAAATTGCTTTTGAATATGTGTGATACTGTTTCTCCTTATGTAAATAGTTGCGTTTCATCCAACCGTGACGAAAAAACAAAACCAAGTGTTGATGAAATTTCGTAGTGTGGGCACATGGCAAATTGTTAATATCTTGAAATGTAAACAGCTCGGTCTGCGTGCGCTATGGGCAGCTCATGTTTTAAACTAGTTGGTCTGTGAATAAGAGCATTCATTTGATCCGACTATGGTAAATATCCTTAGTTCGTATTTACATGGCCTTCAATTGTTAATTAATACAAAAGAAGATAGAAGAAGACACCTAGTAGCAAATTCTTTTACGAAGCTCAAAACTCTGTTGACGAAAAATATGCGTAAATAAATCATACACGTAAACTATGCAGATCAAAAACTCTTACGAAAAATGATAAAGGTTATAGAACATAAATTCCATATTATTTTTCAACTTTTTCTTTGTTCAAAATTGCTTCAATAAATGTTTTTGAGCGAAAATATGTTTACAAAATCGTTCAAAAACATAATTATCATTCATTGTTAAGTTCAGCAACGCAAAAATTTACTAATATATTAAAGTATTCGTCAGTAGCGGCAGAACGCAGAAACTACAAAAGATAAAAAAAGGCAAGAAGGTAGCGCAATATGGATCTATAATATTAATGAGTTATAGTCGTAATTGATTTCGCTAGTACAACCATCATCTAAAAATGTTTGAAATTGGGCAAAAGTAGGAAAAATCAGAAGATTAGAAATAAACAGGGAAAATGTTCAAATACATATATATGCGGAAACATAAAGAAAAAACTCAAGATGTGAAATGACGTAGTTCATAGGGAAAACGTTCATGTATGCTGCACAGATGCATATTGGAAGAATCTTCAACATTAACTTATGCATGTTCTTTTACGTTATCAGTACTTTGTTAGGCCAAAAACAGTTTTGGCCTATCAATAAAAATCTTGCCCATATGTTTCTATCGACGCAAGAGAAGATTGCCCGTGGGCCTAAAAATCCTAGTTACGCCACTGTACACAACAATGCTCATTCATATGGTAATGTCGAATGATTTCGAGTATCTTGCTCATTCAGCTAATCTGACCTATATCGACACATGAACTTGCTCATGCTGACTTTGCATTGGAGCCTAATGTATTGTGCCGAGTTTTTATCATGATTGTTTTCGATTCTAGCGGTGCAATGTATGGATGTCGTAAACAGCTGATTAAACATGTTATTGGCCGTTAACTTCGTCTCCTGCGCGTTCTGAGAATAGAACATGAAATATGAGGTAGCGAACTCTCACCAAGGTCTACCACATTTCCTCAGGGTTTCCCAGTTATGAAAATGGTATATGGTGCGAATATCGGTCTGGCCGTTCATTCAACTCCATTCACACCCACACAATCTACATCCACATGCTACACAAACACTCACTATACCGACCGGTACTCATACACAACATTCATACTCGTATTCCACCTCTACCGACACCCATATCAGAAATTTATATAAAAAACGACGATCCTGCTATCCTAGCATCTTGTCTCGTGCCCATCTTTGACTCAAACACCATAGGTCACACCCACACCCTTACTCGTCAACATAGATGTCGATAGAAAAAAAATGGCATACGTTGAGTGTCAAACAAACAAATGAAGAGAAAAGAAAAATTCACTGATTAACTTACAAATCGAAGATTGTTCGACTTGAAAACCTTGATTTTCACCGATTTTATTATGTAACAATATTACTCGTCTTTGTATACTAAACCTTTTATCAGTTGTTAATTTTGTTGCATGATCAACAGAACAAATCAGCTCGATAGTAATGAGAAAAAAATCGATGGCTTCAGATCTTGCTTGAGTTTGATTTGAACTGCTGTTGCTGCTATTGAAAGAACTTGTACAGTTTCCTTTGAATTTGAATAATTAATAAACGATGCTTTGCATTTTCGTCGTACCAGTTCTCATATAATGTTGATCGCCGACAATCAAACAACATCGAACAGAACGTGTCATTTCTAACTCTGTTGCGCTAATGTAAAGAGAAGACCGGAATACATATATGGCCGTTGATCGTAACTGTTTATTTAAGAGGAGGAGAGAGAGAGAAGTTTCATTTTATTTGTCATGCCGAGCGAATGAAAGAAATTTTTTTCCGCGACTCGAAATAACTCTTTCTAATTGATGGTGTAGATGCGGGAGTAAATGGGTGAAGAGGAGACAAAAAAAAAGCATTTACATCCATATCCATTCTCAGTTTCTCGAAAAAAATGTGTCGGATGTCAATTCGTCCTGTGTCAGTCGGTCCCATTTTAGTTGATTGAGAGTAAGAAGCGTTGGCTTTCATAAGTTTGTTTGCTTTGATATTATCAATAATACAAGTGGTGAGAAAATCATAATGAGCAAAGTCGATCTTAAAGATATTTCAATGGTATTGAAGGCCGAAGAAAACAAAAATTACCATTCATGTGACAATTGACGATGTTGAAAGCAAATCATCGACATCGAACAAGCCCGACACTTATTTTTTTGCTTAGCAAAAAGCTCTGTATCGAGTGTGATCGCTAAGACCCGAACAATTCTCAGCAGTTCAGGTGTGTGAGTGTGATTGAAAAGAAAGGTAACATTCACACTGTATATTTGTGAATAGAGAACAAATGCCAACACCCATAAGCACAGAGTCGAAATATAATTCTTTTGAAAGAGCATTTTTTACATACACATTCACAGACCGTGCCTTAGTGGGTGTGGGTGTGTTATGACAATTATGAACTCTGACTAAAGTAAATCTACTAATTCACTAGTTTAATTTGCCGCAAAAAGACCTAGTAGTTCGTTCTATCGTCAGACTGCTAGTCATATATATAGCGAGAAAAAAGAACATGACACGATAAATGCCAGTGTTCTTGTCTGATTTGACCAATGATGTGTCAAGCCACGTGACACTTTAGGAGTAAAGTACACAGTTTGTTGTTGTCAGCAATGGAACATAGGCATGCTCTATTATGAATTGAGATTCGAAGGTTGAGTTCAAGAAATAAGACTACCTAACAATTGAAAAACTGATTTTCACTTTGATGATTCATCGTAGAGGTCTAAAAACAAAATGAAAATCGTATTATTTGATTTTATTTTTATGACCTTGTTATAGTCATTTTGGAGTATTCCGTGTTTTAAAGTTTAATTTAAACGGACAAGTAATTTTAGCATTTCACTTGATCAATTAGTTGCGTATTATTGAAAATTTCCCGTAGTTGTTTCTATATGGTTTATCTATTTTTCATACATGTCTACATTCGTTGAGAAGTCGTTTGTTTTTCTTGGATTTAATTTATTGAATTTGAATTCAGAAGACATTCGCTAATTGGATGATTGATACATAATCAAAATATGGTCTACATAATATTTTTTGCAGGATTCTTATTAGCAAATGAGTCATAATGAAAAAACAACAATGCAAAAAACTTTAACGAATATTTTTATCCATAACATGATTATATTCCGAACTTGCAGAAAACAGACATAGTCTATCTATTGGCTCTGACCAAACTCTTTTTATCCAATATCAAGCGATGGTGACAATCGTATTTTTCATCACTATTTCGATAATCTTTGCTTCTCTAATCGAAGATAATATTGATTCATGTACACTGAATTTGAATATTGGGATATTTCCATCACATTGATTTTATTCTACGATGAACAAGGTGAAGCTTTCTTCTCAAAGCATACCAGTGAACAATATCACAATGAGTCAAACAATGCAACAATTATTCAACTAATTACATTTCTATAATATTTTAAGTATAAGTCGTCAAAGTAATTCTTCCTATTTTATCCGTATGGATCTTCAAAACGATTATAATCTTCATAAACAATACAATGCACCAAAATATTCTTCTATCGTTGAACATAATTACAATATGCAATATAAAAATTGAATAGTTACAAAGATTGACGAAATCATATGCATTAGATTAGATCAAATAATTTAATGGACAACATTCATTTATCAGTAAAGAGAAAAATGTCAGATTGAATTCTGTTTTTAGGAAAGAATTTAGGTTGCGAAATGTTGTTCGTTATTAATTGCCATCAAATAATAATATAATATTTATATTTTTGGACAAAAATGAATTAACATTAACATTTTCTTATCTTGTGATAACGACGAAAAAATTCGATAATCAAGCTAGTCTGGAAAATGACAAAAATATTTTCGTCAACAACATTGTTCGATCAAACTATGGTTTTGAATTATGTAACGAATTTCGAAAAATGAAATTGATATCATGAAAATCAAAGTGATAGCTTTGGTTACATACTGGGTGGTCATGCTACGTATTATTACGTTCATAAACGAACAAAAACTGCCGTTATCAAACTCAGATCGTTTATTCAGGAAAATTTTCAAGATGTGAAAAAAATATATTTTTTTGTTGACTTCTGGGAACATATTAATCATGGACTTAATTGGTAATCAAGGTGTTCAAAGTTGTATAGTTTATTGTTTACTCAACTATTTGATTCCTGAATATTCTAATCTGAGTGTTTTGTATGAACCAATGAATGCTAGAACAAAAAAATCGTTAGAATTATTTTCTACAGTGTTTAGCTCGTATTCAAATTCAATATTAAATCTTCAAACTAGTCTTTCATTTACAAATATGAATTGGATACAGTCGCATGTAAATTACACAAGAGATAATTTAACATTAATGGTGATGGCCAAGCATTTGATATAAGATAATATTGGCTCAAAAATCACACTAATAAAACATGTTTTTAATTGATTTATGTTTTAATGGATGGTACTTGTGGTTTATTTTTATCCAAATGAAATTTCGCTCAAATTAAAAAAGAAGCGATAGTATTGGTGGTGAATATGATGACAATCATATATTTGAAAGTTCCAACTATGCTGGCGACGGTGCATTTAATTGAAACGATATTGTTAAATATTATATTCTAGTTGGTACTAACCATTTGTCCATTAGCTATTTGCCGACAGATGCCTTCTTGAATTTGAATGTTTATGAAATATAAATCAATGATCTCAATCATGACTATCTAAGAGAAGTATATCAATAACAATATGTGCAAATGACAGTGTTTCTTTCTAAAGAAAGTTAACTAATAATGAGCAACATCTATCTGACCAAAGATCAAGTAAAATGAAAATTCGATAAAAAACGTAGTTGAGTACCAATCTAGGAATATCCTGTTTAGAGAAGTAATGCGCATTAATTCGACCTCTTCATAAGTAGTGATAAAACAAGAGCAGAGAGCTTGAGGAATGATGGATTCACTTGTAAAAAATATCTTGGCGTGACTTTTATCAGACAAATGACATCATTGACCACTAAATCTAAGTTCGATCAACTTATTTCATACAAACAGAAAAGTTCGCATATGCTCTCCACGAATGCATGTATTCTATGACTACCAATGACACATTTTCTAGGATATACATGTACAGTAGAGAGAATTATCAATTGAACAGTGATGCTATTGGTGAGCATAAAGAACAATGATATTTGCAAAAAATCCAGATGGCATAAAAATTCATATGATTGAGTTGGTAGTGGGTATCAGCTGCAATATGATACATTTTAGACGTATCTTCTCGACGAGAACGAAATAGAACTCAACTAAGCACTCCATAGGCATATAAACGCGTCGATTTCAGCTTCCCATGAAGATTGACATTTCAAATCAATCCATCAGATTCTCACGTTCCAAGAGGTCGAGAGCTTGGTGAAGAAATTTTTTGCAATCTCTACTTTTGGTTTATCAGTTGCCTTCAATACATTGCTCCGAACGACGATAACCGAAGAGTTTCGAGTGCTCGAAATTTCAGCCAGTGAAGTCTTTCTCAAAATTTCAAAAGATATTTTCCTTCTATATTTATGTTAATCTGTTCAGTCAAACCAAAAGCCATTGTTTTCCCATAAATCTGTTCCTTAATGATACAATTCTAGCTCAGAATCTTCAGAAGCCGAACACAGAATCGGATTCTCAGATCTCGATTACCTTCGCTCGAAGTTTATAAATTACGCCAATACATATGAGCACGTGACCTGGCATGTGTAAGCAAGTGAGAAACCAAAAAATCAAGGCAATACATTTTATTTCATAAGACGCTCTCTTTAGGCAAGAAAGCTTGGAATTTGATGTAAACATCCACTTTAACTCTTCTTATTATCGTTGATTTTATTTTAATCACTGTATTTTTCATCAACAGTTTCGACTATTCATCAGTGTAAGTGAACAAAGCATTCACATCCGCTGTCACTATTATAAAATTTAAGGATAGGAAAATGGCAGAGATTTTACTTAACTCTGCCCCACCCCGTTTCGACCTCTCATCCGCACTCCATACCCCACACTCTCACCACAGAGGAAGAATGTCTAGAATAAGGGAGACGTCTCGATATTTGAATGCGTTACTTTATTAAAAAATTCAACTTCGACAGCGATCGCGGAGAGCAGCACAACGACGAACGCATCGACTTTTTATGATTAGTAGTCACTGTTGTGGATGAAGTACACTAGTATTCTATCGCCGCTGCGAATAAGCATTTTTGACTGAGGGTGGTATCCATTGTGGACGATTTTGAACAGCAGGTGATAGTGATGGAAATTGCTTTTGCAGTTCCTTTAATGTTACCGCTCGCTCTGAGTAAACGGGATAGCACAAGTAGCCGATAGGTTGTGGCGATGACGATACTCGTTTGTAACTGTCCCGATAGGTTGTTGCAGCAGTTTTTGGTCTGAATATTGGATTTTGGGCATATGCTCGTTCTTCAAGAATGCTATCACATTCATTACAATAGTGGATTGCATTTTGCGAGTATAGATTTGGCTGATTATTCGATGAAAATGGGGTACTCATTGAAGACACATCATTTTGATATTCTTGTTTAATCTTATAGAATGTTGGTGATGTTTGTTGTTTTTTTAATTCTCTAATATCATTCTTTATTTGTTTCAATTCACGATAAATTGTCTTTGTATCTGCCCTTGCAATGTCATTTCTATTATTGGTGGTCACTAATATTTTGTAAGGCGGTTGTATGGATACCGAAGATTCATTATGATCAACATAAACACATGTTGGTGTTGTTTCAGGTGAACTAACTCGATAAATTACGGTTGGATACATGTCTATCTGCAAGAAAAAAAAATTAAAAGCTTTATTAGACACTTCTCTCTACAATAATTTCGCCACACAAATTCCTTATTGTTTTTCTTCCATTTTGTGCAAATCAATTGGATTCGAAAAGTTTGAGTCATATAAAGATTGAAAAGAGCTATTAGTGACTTTCTTAATAAAAACAAAAGTTTAAGATGATGATGCGCGATGGAAGTTTTAGTTGTGCACAATTCTTTAGCAGTTTGATGACGATGAAACAGCCTTTTTATTCCTTCATCAATAACACACAATCATAATTTTGGCTTTTTCAAGTTTGAGAAGTTACCAAGGAAACAATTGAAAAAAAAATACACTTGAATTACTGTTTAATATTTTTTTACTGCGCATTCGATTTCTTTTTGCAGAATAGATCGATTCAATTGCTATGGTATGTTACAACAAAGAATAGAATGTGAATTTCGATAATTTGAAGAAAAAAGACTATGAACAAGTGAGAACGAATAAAATCATCAAAAGAACAGAATAAAAAAAATTATGTCAATAATATGTGTACAGAAGAGAATACTGCCAATGACGAAGAACAAAAGCCAGTTTAAATAAGGTAATAAACTACAGCCATGTTTACCGTGTATTTGTTTTTTCTCCATACATAATTCTACAATCGTAACCATTCTAGAAACAAATATGTTCTGTAAAGAATTTAATGTTCAGTACAATCGAGAATACTTGATTTAAGCATCATCAAGTGGGAAGATCGTATATTTTTTTTTCTAATTATACAACGTTGAATATCCATAAGCAAGCCAAGAGCCATGGTAAATGAACAACCAAGGCGCACATGCTTATATCCGATGATACTTTTGATTGCATGGCAGATAGTATAATACAACTGTTTCACGGTTTCCAATCATAAGTGTGACTACTGTTGAAAGTGAAGTATACTACTTTATAGCTCATACGAATCTGCGCTAAATGATATGTAACACAATTTTTGCCCATAGGTATTGCGTTGAAAAGTTTGTTTCAATGGCATCTTGTATTTATAAATCATGTAATTTCATTTCTTAATGATCTAAATATTTGGAAATCTCTAAAAATTGACTGAAAAAGGTGTAAGTGAGGCTACTCTTTTAATTTCTACTCGCACCCACATCCCTTACATTCAATCGGAATCACACAGAATTACTTAGAATTACTCACAGTCACAGAGAATCACTTCGAATCATGCGGAATCAAACGCCAAAAGATTGCTTGCTTATATTGCTAAATATACCGAATCGATCATATCTCATCGGTCAGAAGCAGCCATTCAGATTTCAGTAGTTTCTAACCAAATACGAAATCTAAAAGAATCTATAATCTTTGATATTCAACTTTAAAACAGGTACTACACATCTTTACTTGTGTGTAGATCATCTGAACTGGCAGCCGCTATTTGGGCTTAGATAGGGATTACAAGAGCATTTTGATAAGACTAGTGACTGTCCGAAAGAGTTCTTTGTTATGAGTCTTTCTAGCCGAGTTGTGATCATTATACCGAATTGTCGACACATAATTTTGCCCATAGAAGGTCTAATGGTCTGCAGAATGTTCTGAGTTTCAGTCAAAAATAATGTTCTTTTCTGGAAATACTGAATTTCTAAAAAAAAAAAATAATCATTTGGTATAGATATTTTAGAAAAAATGAGTTAGTCTGAAACTTCAATATCTACACAAATTAACATCATTTTCAGCTAAAAGTTTCAGAATATTTTCCGCTATGAATCAGTCTTAATCTCAAGTATCTGTGCACATAATCATCAATGACAACTGATATTTTAAATATGATGATTTGGTTATGAAATGCCAAATAGAATTCAAGCATTCTCTTTTTATTCTTTAGCTTCTGTTGATCAAGACTCAAACAATGCCTATTTTACATCTCATTTTTCTCAAGTTCACCATCAATTAGATGAAAATCTTGATTCGTCATTTAATATTAACGGACATATTCGTGGCCGAAAAGTTCTTGTTTACAGTGCAGACAAACGTGAATTTTCTTGTTCTGATTATCAAAATACTTATAGACTTGCTCTTCCTTATGGCATATTAATAAATTATGCTGATGCACATTCCACAAAAAAATATGTAAATCTGAAAAAAAAAGAAAAATTGAAATTCAAAGGTTATTGACAAATCTTATTGTCAAACATATTCAAGAAATAAAATTCTAGCGATTGTAATTTTATCATGAGACATTCGGTTCGACACCTGAATCAAATAAATCATATAGATTTTTAAGCGATTCATAATGTCGTTATTGATAAAGATTTACATTTACTCATGTATATCAAAAACGTTTTCTATTGGAAATATTATCATTTGGAATTATATCTGAATGAGATGGACTTATTTATCTGTGTGAAATACATTCAAACTTATTGAATGTAAATATTGTGGGGTGTAATTGTAGATATGGATATTCATTTGACAATCCTACACTCCCATACACACCCTCATCTATATAAATACGTACTTAGCAAATCATATAGATTATTAGTAGAGAGTGTATTGATTTTTCAAATTTTGCGTCAATGAAAGTATAATTACGATAACTGAGAATCCAAATTCCTACACACTTTTCGTGTAGGATCTAGTTATCTTTGTTTGCACGATTCAAAGCTACTACGAGGCTTGACAAAACGTCGTAACAATATATTACAGTTAACATAGATTTTTGAATTTAGTGTAATTCTGATATATTTTAACCATATTTCATGGAGTCTAGCAGTATTTTTTTCCAAAGTATTAATCCAATGGCAACTTCAGAAGATAGATAGACAATAAGATAGGTATTTGTTTCGTAAGTTAGATTATCCACTGATTGATTGGTTAGATAGCTTCTTTAATACAAAAATAGTTTGCTAAGTGATTTGTGATCAGGGTACATTGATAAAGACAGAGGAAATGATAAGCTCTATGAAAAATCTTTTATTGAGTTTGATATCGTTCGCATAGATTTATAAAGAAAAAAGGGTTAATTCTTAATACTATCCATAAAGAGCTTTAGATTGATTACCTTCATACACCGTCTTATACAGTGAGGTTATATAGCTCGAATATCTAAAAACTCGTTACAAATAATAGTAAAATCTTTTTGTCTAGAGAAATTTGTGTAACTATACCGTAATGGATATAGTTTTTATAGTGTTTATTATATAATTTTTTAAAGTTTAGTGTCTCTGCTCTAGTTAGACAAACGGGTAATGACAAACTCAAAGTTTGACAAAGTCAATAAACCATTCTCAGTTTGTATCGAAGTGATAAACCACTTTTTAGTTCCGTGCAAGATCAATTTTGTTTAGTGAGTATTGTGTTGAGCTCGTCTATAATATCCTTTCTTATGGAACGCTATCTATCGTCTTAACAGTCTACTACATTATTTTCGTTTCTGTTTCTGTTTCTTTTTGGGAATATAATTTATGGTCAGTAAAATAAATGAAATGATCAGTAGAATAAATGAATGGTCAGTAAAAAATGAATGATCAGTAAATTATTTAAAATGGTCAGTTATTAAAATAACTGGTTCGTTAATATATTTAAAGATCAGTAAATTAATTTAAATGGTAAGTATAAACGTCGAAACGTGTTATACTATCACCTCACCCGTGCAAACAGCGCCTTAGAGGCAATTAATAAAAGAAACAAAAATGATGAAATAATTAGAGAATGTCATGTTTTATGGAGATTTTTGACAATAGCTTCAAATATTGTCGATAGTTGGTGAACTGGACGAAACTCTTCTTCAATTAATGCAAAATATTTGTTACAGAATCAACAATATCTTCAGAATTGTAGACTTTATCCTATCAATGGGCTAAATCAACAAAAAACTTAGTTGGCCTTCCAAATGATGCTTCAGAATAATATTGTATTCGAGCTAGTCGTTTACAATCGATTATATAAGTCGATTTAAATAAATATATAAATAAAAAAATTGACAACTTTGATGCAATTCAAAAATCATTTAATATTTGGTGTTTGGAAATGAAACATGGTTCAGCTTGGAAAACATCAAATGCAACTGTTTAGGTTTTTTTGAAGAACTGCATATGCAAACACATTGTAGATGTGTCTGTTCATTTGAAATATTGTAAACCACTAGCAAAAAAAAACGTCTCGATCAATGAGAAAAGAAAACAGAGGTAGACTAGTGAAGGCTAAACCTATATTGCTAGTATAATAATTGAATTTTCATTTTCTTTTTTGCTTTCATTCTTTGAATTTCCATATAATGACCTTTTGGATTTCTTCTTATTTATTCATTGGTTTTTTTCTATTTATTTTAATTTATTTTTCTTATATAAATTAATCTTTATATGAATAAAGCTATTTCTTCTACTAATAAAATCTGCACTTTTACTGATCAAATTTGAAATTTTTACTGATACTTGTATATAGAAAACTGACCATTTTATGATTAATTACTGACCATTTTTTAATTAAGTACTGACCGTCATACTACTGACAATTCAATATTTCTACTGATCATTTATATATGCTTTTACTGACCATTTCATTTGTTTTACTGACCACTTAAATGATAGCCTTTCTTTTTTCATTCATTATCGATTTATGTAAATATCGATGAGATAATTCGTTGTTGTCTGATTATCGTTCAAAGATCAAGTCGTCTCTACTACATACGGAGCGGCTATGCTGTTTCCTTTATTTTTATTTTTATTGTAATTTGATCTTTATTGAAATGAATTCACATATATCCAAACATCCTTACAATATTATATCCATTATGGTTGCATATCTTCTAAAGCTGTATCGATTAGTAGTTGTAGACGTGTTGTGTTTACAATTACAGAAGCATCATTACGAGTATCTTTAACTCCCGGAAAGTCAAATTCGTAATCCTGTGATCCACACACTTGGTAGTAGTGTTTTCGAACATGTGGAAAGTGATTTAAAGATGCACCTTCCATTGAAGCGCTTTGTCCTCGTTTAAATCCGTACTGCTC